TATTTGAATAAATAATTTAAAGCATTTTACACACTATCTATCTAAAATAATTGACATCCTATTTTTAATTTAGGCTTGATAATTATTTTGAAATAAAGTGTAAAAATTTGTCAATGGGTGGATTATCTTTTATCACACTATTGGAAGCAAAATAATAATGTGCTGCTCGCAATAAATACATAGGAAAATAAGCTCAATTTAGGAAAATAAAAAAAGTTAGCATTAATTTCAATATTTATATCATGTGAATATTTTTAATTAAACCATTAGCTAAATTGATGTCAATTTTTCCTTCATGTATATTGATAATAAAATGATACAATAAATATATCTTTAAAGGTATAAAATAAAAAATCTATATATTCTTTAAACCCGAGTTATTTGGGATGGAATAGCATTGGATTTCATTTAGGTTAAACTCCTAATTTGGTCCTTCAATTATTTTACGGACTTTGAGTTGGTCTCTAAATTAAAAAAATTTTGATTTGTTCCTTAAAATTTTCAAATTTTCCAAGTTAATATTTTTGTTAAAAAATAACTAACGTGTACATTGCTTGATGGTAGAAAACTATTATTTATGAGCCACATGTTATGTTAATAATAGGATACATCAACTATTTATTAACAAAGGAACCAACTTTAAGTTAAATTTAGAAACTTTAGGGACTAAATCATGAATTTTTTTAGTTTAGGAACCAACTCAAGAGCCCGTACAATAATTGAGGGACCAAGTTAGGGACCTAACCTTTCTTTTAATGGTTGTTCTTTTTGCGCCTAAGGATGCATTATTATATCTTTGTTGTAATTAAATTATATAAAAATATAAATATTAACTTTAATTAAGGTAAATTAAAATTATTTATATAACAATAGTGCTAATACAAAGGCATTTTTATTTTATATTTACACTAAGGCCTCGTTTGGTATAGCAGTTTTGGGGTAGCGGTTAGTGGTTTTACCTAAACCGCTAAATATAAGTGTTTGGTAAATTTATATATTTTGAAACCGTTACAACTAAAGTGTTTGATAAAATTTTTATTTAGCGGTTTGAGACTAGCGGATAGCAGTTAGGGTCTAAATCGCTAGCGGATTAAAAAAGTTAGTTTAGGTAGCTTTTTGTACCAAACCGCTAACGGATTAAAATTTTTTAATTTTATTGACAAATTTAACCATTTTAATTTTTTAGTTTGTGGTCACATTTTTTAATTAATAATTATCTAATAAATTTCAATTTTGTTTTTTTACCTTTAATAATATTAAGTGATTATAATATTTTTTTTGTACATTAATT